GGGTAGTAAAGAAAAGCAGAAAATAAGTGCAGTCTATTCAGCCTTTGTGGAAGCCAAGCATACACGTCTTTCTATTAAACCTCAATACAGTCAAAAGTACTTCTCTCGGTTCAGTCAACTCAACCTTTGCCTCATCTTCTTTTTTTTGGTATTTCCTGCCAAGCTCGCCATTTCTGACAAGGATAATCTTTCCTCCAGGGATTATGAAGATATCCAGTAGTCATCACTTTTTGTCAGCTTAGCTCATATTAGCCAGCAACCCGTGGCTTAGCGGTCTGAGCTTTGTATCTGGGTTCAAAGGGAACACCGGAGATTTGTGCCACGGTTCAGCCGTAAGGCGGTTAAACAGCATGGTGGTCGTTCTCAAACCAGTTAACACGGTTCAAAGCCCAATCAGGGGAGATGAAGCGCACAACTGTTGCCAGAGGTATCGCAGTAATACCTTTACTGTAGGAAAATAAACGTTGAGTGGAGCAATAATGGAGCTTTGGCCCCTTTCCTGCCTCTGATGGGGAGGAAATGGAGGCACTGGTGATGTTTGGGGTAGTTGGAGTACCAATTCTGTTTCTGAAGGTCACAACAAATGTTCAGAGCCCCCAGATCAAACAGAGCTGAATCCCAATATCTGGTTTTGTTACTGCACATATTTTATATTTAACATGTTATTCCATTCTATTTCAATGTATCACTCAAACACATAAGAGTAAAATATATAAATACGGCTTAATTTGATTTGTTATGTCGACCTACCTGGTGATAAACCGGATTCTGATTCTGATCAAATGCACGCTGAAGGCTCTTTGAGCAGCTTTTCTCTCACTGATCCTGCTGTTATGTTCCATGTTTGTTTTTCATGTGTTGTGTCTTGATATGTGTCTGTTGATGTTACACATGGAGCTGCTGTGATGCAAGGAGCATTTCAGACTTGATCTGACCAGTAAAGTATCATCCTATCGTATCGTATCGTATCGTGTCGTATTAAGATGAGAATGAATTGCCCCAGTGGAAAAAATGTAAGCTTGATTCTGTCTTTGAGTTGATCTCAAGAAGAATGAGCATTTGAAAGGGCTGGAAAAAAACTAATTGTGATTATATTGACAGATATTGCAATTTCAAAATCTATCTGTAACAACAAAGATTTTTCATTAAGTCGTCAGAATACCGTTCGTCTTCGCAGCTCAATACTTTATTCAGATATTGTTGCATATTTTGCATTTTCAAATATCGAGCTTACTGTGATTTCTGATATTGCAATAATCTATGCTGCAATTTCGCAAAAACTACGAAACATTGTGCCACCATAGTCTCCAGCATCCAAGCTTGTAAGAAGTTGAATATTAAAATCAAGCTGTCAATGTTCCAATGATTTAATGTAGATCAGAGAAGAGCCATCGTACAAACACAGAATATTGATTTCAGGCCGGGATATTCTTTATCATTTAAAGGTCAGGACCTTTCTGCAAAGACCACAATACTTTGTTCAGATAATAGAACATGTTATTTATTTACCAAATGTTGTGCTTACTGGGATTTGATTATTGCACTAGTATAGAAGAAGTAGTCAAATAAGAAAGTCAAGCTGTCAATGTACCTTTCTTTTTTTTTTGATGATGAGGAGCCCCGGCCTACAAACGATATTAAGAATCACTATTTTTCAATAGACATTTCTACATTTTTTGCGTTTACCAAATGTTGTGCTTACTGGGATTTTGATATTGCAGCATTTTGGTTAATTGTGCAGCCTTAATGTCCAAACCTTGGATCGTTAGACTCCAATTCTGTTTTTTGAAGGTCACGATAATTTCCAGCTGCGACTTAATGGCCCCAGTGGAATAATTAGGGTCTTGATTGGTGGATTCTGCCTTTTTTGAGTTGATCTCAAGAAGAAACCAGTGGCTTGTGAAAGAGCAAAAAGCATCAGAACAGATTCAATGCAGCAAACGCAGAGAAAAAAGCCACCAAACAAAGTGGAGCTGAGTAAACACTCCCATCTGCCCCAGTGTTTGCTTTCCACGGCCGCCTGCCTCCCCAGCATGCAGAACATTTCGCCTCTTGATTTGTGAGTCTCTCCCATAGCTCAAAAAGCCTGAAGGCTGGTTGACTGAATTAGAGTTAGAGTGTTATCTCCCCAGCGAGGCAGAGCACTGATTGCTGCCCTCATTGGTAGCAAGAAGCACGTTCGCTGGTGTAATAGCTGCCATAGAAACCACATCAGCCAAGTAATTGTTTAGGCAACCTCAGAAAATTAAGAGGACAACATTAAAATTCTCCCGCTTGGCTTCGTCTTGCTTCTCTGGGGCTACATTTTTTTATCTAATGTTCAATTTGTGCCGCAGAAGATTGACAGCTTGAGACCACAAAACCAGGTCTATATTTTTTATACACGTTCCTGGAGAGTTAGAAAAGCAAATAGGGCTGCATCGTGTGGAGAAAATAACTAAATGAGGTTTTATTGATTGATAATGGGATTACTATATCATCTTTTTACATCAGTATTTTCATTATAATGCTCATTACACTACATATAACATTAATTCACCATATGGCCAACTCACTTGATTTTAAAAACAAACTTATTGGGATTATTTTTTACTGACTTTTGCAATTGCGATGATTCTCGATATTAGAAGGAATTATCTCTTTTGGATTCTAATTCTCATTATGATTGCAAAATATTTTTAAGTGAACATGGTGGTTTTTATTTAAGAGGATCTGTGCCAAGGAAATATATTTTGTTAAGTCTGTAGAATATTATTTATAGGCCTGGATATCTCTGCAGCTTCACAATACTTGATTCTAAATTAGGTTTTAAGTAGCGTTTTGTGCCGGTCAACGTGATCGGTATGATTTCTATCAACCGGACAAAAGGGAGAATATTCTGAGAATATTCAGATTTCCGTAAAATTTTTAAATTGTGCTTTCAGCAAATACATTTTTTAGCAGACAATATGACCGGAGAGATTTAAATTTGCCGGACTTCCACACGTATCAAAATCCGGGGGAAAACGTAAACATTCAGGGGTAATAAAGTAAATATTCATAAAACAAATTAAATTCATGAAAAAAAAAAAGAAAATCTGAAAAAAACTCAATGATGTGAAAAAAGTGAGAATTAAGAAACACCCGAAAATCTGAAAAAATTTGATTCTGGATAAAAGAAAAGTCAAAATTAAAAAGAAATGCAGAATTTTTGGAAAAATTTCAACATTCTGAGAAAAACTCACATTTCAGAAAAAAACGAATTCTGTTGAAAAAGTGAATATTTACAGTCAAAATTAATCAAAAAGTCAAAATTCACAAAGAAAAAATCAAAATTCAGAGAAAAAGTGAAAGTTCAGATTTCAGACATTTTTTCTCAGAACTAAAAAAATATGTATTTTCTGGCCGGATCTCCAAAGAAAATCAACGTGTACCGAATCCTCTTCTGTGCGCTTGGTATTGAGCTTTCAGCTATTTATTTTTGACCAGACGATATGAACGGAGAGCTTTAAACTTCTGAAGATATTTCCGGCCAAAGTCAGACTCAAGGAAACTCTTATTTTAACACACATGTAGTTATTGAACTGCTCCTTATTGAGATGCTATGAAACCAAATGTCTCTGTACTACAGTCACACATAGAGGCTGTGTCCATTCGTTTGTGTAAACGCAGAATATAGATTTTTGGCCCGGGATATTCTTTATCATTTAAAGGTCAGGACATTTCTGCAAAGACAACAATACTTCATTCAGATAATAGAACATATTTTATATTTATCAAATGTTGTGCTTACTATTTGATTATTGCACTAGTGCGTAGAAGTAGTCAAATAAGAAAATCAAGCTGTCAATGTACCTTTTTGTTTTGTGATGATGAGCAGCCTAAAAACGAAACTCAGAATCACAATCCAATCCATTTTATTTCTATAGCACATTTCAAAACAACAGAGCTGGACAAAGTGCTGTACATCAACAACTGTATAAAAACAGAGCATAAATACATAAAAAACAGACAGGACATGAAACAAATGTGAAACACGAGACACTGAAACCAGATCAGAAGCCACAGACTGAGAAACTCTCCTACATGACGTAAAAACAATACAAGACACTAGTAAGATAAAAACCCACATTTAAAAGCACAAGTGTCACCTGGTCTGTAAATGCCAGGGGAAATAAACAATAGACATTTTACATATTTTGCATTTACCAAATGTTGTGCTTACGGCAATTTGATTATATCAAATAAAGAGAGGATATACGGTAGGGTGAAGTTTTATGTCTCCCTATGCTGATTTCTTACAGCTTTGTCCTTAAATGTTGGCCAAGAATAACTCTCTTGTCCTTTAGGTTTCTACCACAAAGGTCTAGAAGTCCAGCCACAAATAAATATCTGTCCAACGGAGACTATTTCCACCGTCTCTGTGCTTTGTGTTGTCCCTTCTCCTGGCAGTGAAGGGCAAACAAACCTTATAGCGTTCACTTATCTCCCCGCTTTCAGGGCTGATGATGGATGGATCCACGTCTTCCAAGAGACGAATAACATCAGTCAGGACTGCAGATGCTCCTCAAATGTTTCCAGAATAGGGAAACAGTTGAATAGAAAGATATGACTCTAGGACGTATTGTTCTTCCTGCATGTAAGAAACCACATTAAATGGGTTTCATACGTCATTTCATTCTACGGCACTTTTATTCTTATGATCTGAATTCTTATTTTGGCAGATTTGGACATGAGTTCAGATCTTATAACTTCATACTCACCGTGGTCATTGCTGACGGCTTGAGACACATTGATGACATTTAAATTGAGTAAAGACAATCCCTCTCTGTGTTTTCAGGATGTTACCAAATTAAATAGGTTTCATACGTCATTTCATTCAAAGGCACTTTTATGTTTATTATCTTGATTCTTATTTTTGCAGATTTTGACATTTTGGACAGTTCTGATCTTTATAACTTCATACTCACTGTGGTAATTGCCGACAACTTAAATCTGACGAACCCTTTCTGTGTTTTCAGGATGTTACGGTGTGGACGGAGAGAGCGACTCCATCATGAGCTCGGCGTCGGAGAACTCGACGGAGCCGTGGTTCTGCGACGCCTGTAAGAACGGAGTCACTCCGAGCTGTGAACTCTGCCCGAATCAAGACGGCATCTTCAAAGAGACAGATGCTGGGAGGTGAGATCCAAAACAACATGAACATTAGCCGCCTTTAGCTTAGCGGTGGTCACGTGAAGTCATGTGACCGTGCTGTAGTTCCTTTATAGCCCAACATTAGCCTCCTTTAGCTTAGCGGTGGTGACGTGAAGTCATGTGACCGTGCTGTAGTTCCTTTATAGCCCAACATTAGCCTCCTTTAGCTTAGCGGTGGTGACGTGAAGTCATGTGACCGTGCTGTAGTTCCTTTAGAGCCCAACATTAGCCTCCTTTAGCTTAGCGGTGGTGACGTGAAGTCATGTGACCGTGCTGTAGTTCCTTTAGAGCCCAACATTAGCCTCCTTTAGCTTAGCGGTGGTGACGTGAAGTCATGTGAACGTGCTGTAGTCCTTTATAGCCCAACATTAGCTTTTTACTTCAGAAATCATGAAGTGGTGTTAATATGTGGAGATTTTTCTGATGAACTAAACGCGTAAGAATCATAAACGTTGGTTGGAGATTATTTTCTGCAATAATCCAAAATCACATGGAGAGATCCCATTGGACCAGGGTAGATGATGCCTTCAGGACCAGCACAGAAATACGTCATCCCTGCACCTTTCTATACCGCCCAATGACCTCAGCTGGTTGAAATGCTGAAGGCAATACGATGTGCATTGTAAATGGTACATACACTCAGAAGAGTAGAGAAAGGGAAGTTGGATTAAAGAGAGAGAGAGAGCTGGCAGAGAGGAGAGGATGGAGGGAGAGCAGAGATAGAGGGGGAGAGAAGAGAGAAGAGATAGAGGGGGAGAGAAGAGAGAAAAGAGTGTGTTATGTGAAGCGTGGAGACTTCAGCCACGTTATCGCTGATAGTGCTCCTCAGCCAGGCTGCACCCGAATTTACTACTTCACTAGAGCATGAAAAACACAGCAAATTAAAGTGTGAAGCGGCTGCTTGCTGGAGATGGATATCTTTATATTGGACTTCGGATTCTCTTCCCTAAAGTCCGCATTTGAAATTGTGTCACACCAAAGTGGAGCTGCAGTCTGGAGCTGCATGAATCTATGAATCCATTTTTCTTTTTCAAGTGTCTCAGCAACTCTCTGCAGCTTCTCGATATGAAGTTTTCTTATTGTCTGCACGCACGCTAAATGCAGAAATAAACACAGCCTACAGATTTTAATCAATTTAATGGCTTCTCTTGAAATCACTGACCGAGCATCGACACGTTTTGAATGTCACCTTTTTTCAAAACTACTTTCAGGACAGGCTTTTCATACTAATGTGTTATTTTTGTATCCCTCTTCACTCACAGATGGGTGCATGTGGTTTGTGCGCTCTACGTTCCCGGAGTGGCGTTCGGAGACATCGATAAACTGCGACCGGTGACTCTCACAGAGATGAATTATTCAAAATATGGAGCCAAGGCAAGTTCTGTTTTTACCTGATGAGAACACTATGCCGAGTCACTGCTTTAAGATGCTCTTTTTATTAGTGTTTATTCAAAAGTATTCATTAGGGTTTATCCTTCCTGTACGAGAAAGAATTATGGCAACACGTGATTATTTTTTTATAGATTTGACAATAAGTGATTTTTATTTTTTTGCGGCGTTTTGAGATGAGATCCAAAATTCAGAGAAAAAATTATACTTTTTTTCTGAAAATCTTAGAATTCTCCGATTTTCAAAAAGAAAATCTCAGAATTCAGATTTTCTTTCTCCGACTTTAATCCCAGAATTATGAAATGTCCTCATTATGATAACAAAATATATACTTTTTTTTCCTCTGACAATCTCAGAATTCTAACATTTTATTCTCAGATTTTCAAAGAAAATAAAAACAAAAATCTCAGAATTCAGATTATTTTCTCGGATTAAATCCCAGAATTATTAAATTGCCTCATGATAAATCAAAAAAGTCAGAATTCTGAAATGTCATGTGTGGCCCCTATCCCCTAACCATACTCCTGGGCTATAAATAAAGAAGGGTCTTTGTATAAGAGAAGATAAGAAGTACTTTATTGATCCCAATTTACAGCATCATAAAAAGACATGGCATTGTATAATACAAATTAAAAGTCTAGAAATAAACAATCCAAAATGTGAACATCTCAATAGAAATAAAATAGCATTAAAAAAAGTAGAAAATATACTTTTTGAATTACAAATGTACAGTGACACAATATAAAGCAGGATATAATATATACATAAGTCTGTGAGGAGCAGTGTTGACCTCCTCCTTGTGTTTCTGTAGGAATGCAGTTTCTGTGAGGACGCTCGTTTCTCCCGCACCGGGGTCTGCATCAGCTGCGACGCCGGGATGTGCCGCTCCTATTTCCACGTCACCTGTGCTCAGAGGGAGGGGCTCCTGTCTGAGGCTGCTGCAGAGGAGGTGAGGGCTGCAACCTGCACAGGGAGGGGAACTCAAAATAAGTCTAGGTGCCATAGCAATAACATCTGGAGGGAACGCATGGATTTTAGCCTTTGCAGACCGTTTACATGCACAGGAACCTTGAGAACACTGTTTTTATTTTATTTCTTAATATTTGTTGGGATTTGTTTGAGTCACAACATTTATTTCAGCAACTTAGTGTCAATGTATTAAATGACATTACTGAAAGAAGAATCGATGTTAACTGTGGCCCGGGTTACAGCACTGTAACTTAGTATTTTACATGAATTGCATTATCATAGATGTATTCTTTTGGAGGGGGGCCACAGGGGGGTCCAAGCTCTGCGTTACAGGGGCACAAAGCATGATCGGGCCTCTTTTTTAAGAGTAAATATTTCTCCAGAATAATTGCTTCTGCTTTTCGTATTTTCCTCCTGTGACTTTATTTGTATTAACTTGCACATCTAAAAACATTCTCTTGCACTATTTTATCAGTTTTATTTGTTTTATGTCCTATATATATTCATGTTGCTCTGTTGGAGGAGGACTTCAGTTGTTCATTGACATATCTACTCGGTAGCTGCTGAGCACATGATGATGAAGACTTGAAAGTTGAACAGAGATGACTGTGTGATAAAGTGTCTTTAGTAAAAGCTGTAATCACCAGAGATGTCAAAAGTACACACATCCTTTCCTCAAGTAGAAGTACAGATACTCGTGTTTAAAAATACTCTGGTAAAAGTAGAAGTACTGACTAAACTTCTTTCCTCAAGTAAAAGTAAAGAGGGCTTTGAAATGTACTTCAGTAAAAAGTACCCATAACTAGCAGCTGTTTTAAAGAGTACCTGACCTCCCTTTATATTAATAGAACAATAATGTCATTGTTAGCTAATGAATGTTTCCATGCTGAACAACGGCAACATGACAACGTTTTCATTGGTCCCTCTTCTTTAGAGAAGACCAGGAAATGATGGATACACGGATCGTGTTCAAATCAATAGGCACGCAATGACTCTAAATAATAATGATCACGCCACCAAACACACATTCAAACTAAAGGAACCAGCCTGTTTGGAAAATGTAAGAAGTAGAAAGTTCAGGTATTTGTGTTCAACATGTAAGAAGTAGAAAGTACAGGTATTTGTGTTCAACATGTAAGAAGTAGAAAGTACAGGTATTTGTGTTCAACATGTAAGAAGTAGAAAGTACAGGTATTTGTGTTCAACATGTAAGAAGTAGAAAGTACAGGTATTTGGGTTCAACATGTAAGAAGTAGAAAGTACAGGTATTTGTGTTCAAAATGTAAGAAGTAGAAAGTACAGGTATTTGTGTTCAAAATGTAAGAAGTCAAAGTAAAAAGTAAAGTACTGATACCAGAAAAATGTACTTGAGTACAGTAACGAATTACTTGAACTCCACTACTTCCCACCTCTGGTAATCACTAATGTTCGTATGTATTTTTGTTTCTTCAGGATATCGCTGATCCGTTCTTCGCGTACTGCAAACAGCACGCAGACCGCTTCGACAGGAAGTGGAAGAGGAAGAACTATCTGGCGCTCCAGTCTTACTGTAAAGTTTCTCTGCAGGAGAGAGAGAAGCAGCTCACGCCTGAAGCTCAGGTAACATCAATGCATTCAGAACGGATATCAATCTCAGAATTCTAACATTATTCTCAGATTTAGAAAAAAAAAAAAGAAATTACTTCAATCCCAGAATTAGGAAATGTCCTCAAAAAGTCAAACTTCTGAGAAAATATTTTACTTTATTTTTGGGAAAATCTCAGAATTCTAACAAATGTCCTCATAATGATAAAAAGTAAAAATTCTCAGAAAAAAATATACTTTTTCCCCCCAAATTGACCAATCAGAATCGAGTATACTAAGCACTGTTTTTATTATATTATAAAACTGTCTTCCAGGCCCGGATCACCACTCGTCTCCAGCAGTATCGGGCCAAAGCAGAACTCTCCAGAAACACCCGTCCTCAGGCCTGGGTTCCTCGAGAGAAGCTGCCGCGACCTTTGACCTCCAGCGCCTCGGCCATCAGGAAGCTGATGAGGAAGGCGGAGCTTATGGGCATCAGCACCGACATCTTCCCCGTGGACACGTCGGATGCTAACGCTAGCATGGACGGCCGCAGGAAACACAAACAACCTGCGCTCACTGCGGACTTCGTGAACTACTACATGGGTGAGGAAACATCAGGGGTATACAGGGGGGTCCTTTTTCTGTGTTGGACCCTGAAGGCAGCATGGGATTTCTCTTTGATTTTTGATTATAGCAGAAAATAATCTCTGTGTCAAACAAACGTCTATGATACTGACATATAGACTAGGGCTATAAAGGAACTACAGCACGGTCACATGACTTCACGTCACCACCGCTAAGCTAAAGGAGGCTAATGTTGGGCTATAAAGGAACTACAGCACGGTCACATGACTTCACGTCACCACCGCTAAGCTAAAGGCGGCTAATGTTGGGCTATAAAGGAACTACAGCACGGTCACATGACTTCACGTCACCACCGCTAAGCTAAAGGTGGCTAATGTTGGGCTATAAAGGAACTGCAGCACGGTCACATGACTTCACGTCACCACCGCTAAGCTAAAGGTGGCTAATGTTGGGCTATAAAGGAACTACAGCACGGTCACATGACTTCACGTCACCACCGCTAAGCTAAAGGCGGCTAATGTTAGGCTATAAAGGAACTACAGCACGGTCACATGACTTCACGTCACCACCGCTAAGCTAAAGGCGGCTAATGTTGGGCGTGATGACATTTAGTTGACTAATTTAGACACTTGTTAGCAACCGCTGTTTTTAAATCCACCAGTGGGGTATTTACGGACGTATTTTATGTGATAAAACAAAACGTTAAAATGTGTTATTTCAGGATAACAACCAAAAACACATTCAGAAAACCATTGACCTCCAAACTAGGGGACAGGAAGTGATGAAATACTGACTCATTCCCAGGTTTAGGATTTATTCCTGGAACTTTTGATTCCCCCTTCATACGAGAAACACTTTGGGAGTGAGATAATGTTTGACAAAACAGTATGCTAGTATTTCCAGGTACTATTTATCTGATTTACGTTTTGGAAAAATAACCGTTTTCCTGTCATTCCTCCTGCCGAAGTGAATGAATATGGTCTGGTATTGTAAATGTAACCAACAGTTTTTAGTGTTATCTCTGTACTGCATATATTTAACTCTTTACTGAGTGTTTTAGTCATTGTGTATATGTTGTATAAAGTAATTTTCTCCCCCAATAAGTGGCTGTGATGACGCCGTGGCGCTGCCCTTGAGATCCTCCTCCGTTAGCCTATCTGCCATCAGTACACTCTCTCATGAGCGTTTTCCTGTACGCTGATTGTGATCGTGCTATTGATTTTTGTCCCATTGATATTCAGAGCGGAACATGCGCATGATCCAGATCCAGGACAACATCTCGGAGCAGAAGAGCCTGAAAGACAAGCTGGAGAGCGAGCAGGAGAAACTGCACGTGGAGTACAACAAGGTGAGGAAACTCAAACTCAGGAAATAAACCTTATTTGAGACGATCCGTGCACATATATTATTATTATGCGTATTAGAATACGCACAGTCATCACCATCTGAATATCTTATCTAGTTTTGTGGCGGTTGCTCCGTTAAAGAATGAAATACAAATATGAATAAATACATAAGAAGAAAAACATTTGAATGTCTTAAAGCTGCTGGGTCATATAGCGACCTCGAACAACAAATACATCCAGAGTTACGGTTTCTTTACTTCCTAGAAAAAAAGAAATAAACTCAGAAATCTCAGTTTCAGTGTCGGCCTGCCACCGGACATCCATCCCATAATAATGATCCGTAAAAACAAAGCAGTCTCTGCCGTCTGACGCTCTGTTTGATCCTCATATTTCTGGAGTCAAAAATATCCAAGTCTAAAAAAGATATAAAGAAAAAAATATTTATAAATTGAAAATGTTTAATCTAAATCCCCTAAAAGTATTTTAATACAAATTAAATGTAATTTAAAAAAAAAAACATTTTAATCCCCCAAAAATCTAAATCTAGAAAAGTCAAAACAAATCTAAATCTAAAAAAAATCGAATATCTTTTTATTTTATACAGTTTTTGATGAACAGAAATATTGTTTTCTGGCATCGCTTTAACATTTTACGGGGAAACAAATCTGCATTTTGGTTTGAGGGCGCAGGGTGTTATATTTCTGTACCAAACAAATATGTGTTAAGCATAGGCGGCGGGTACTGTAGGCTAGGGAAGGCTAAGCCTTCCCAAATATGTTTGTCATTGCATTCTGGTAAAATTAAAAATATAATGTTTGTGTCTTTGACATTAGCGCTGATTGAAATTGATTGATTGATTGAAAAGTTTATTAACAGCTTGTATATTGGGTACAGTACAGTACAGCTCAAAACATACAATTGTTAAGGGGATGCAGACCAGAGAAAGACTTTCGTCTTGTTTACATCAGGGTCCCCCATTTCCAATTCATCATATCATTTAAGACATATAAGACATATTTGACATACAGATGGCTTATTTACAATTTACATACAGGTGGTTTTTACATACAGATGGCTTATTTACAATTTTCATTTTAGATTTCGTTCTAATACATCCTAACCGGACATTTAAGACATACCAAGTCTACAGATATACAGTTAGTAACAGAGTCTAAAATGCGAGTATATACATAGATGGGGGGGGGGAAGCTGTCCATTGTACGACAGGTTGAGATTTGTACCATTACCGGGGCCAGTTTTGCAATGCTTTCCCCCGAAGGTGCTCTTTGAGAGAGGTTTTGAAGGTAAGTATAGTTTTACTTTCCTTTACAGTTGTGGGAAGAGCGTTCCACCTTGATGTGGCATAATTGCGAAACGTGTATTCCCCTTTTTTTGTGCCAAATCTGGGTTTTACATGATTTGTGGAGCTCCCTCTGGTGTTATGATCATGGTATTCCTTGACCTTTGGGAAGAATTTTGACATGTACATGGGTACCATAGAGGTGTAGTGGATCTTGTAGACCAGGCCCATTGCAAGTAGCTGTACTCTGTCGTCTACTCTAAGCCATCCTAGGTTGTCAAAGTGGGCAGAGGTGAGGTGGGTTCTAGATGAAAGGTCAAGCAGTAGTCTGACCAGTTTATTTTGCGATGTTTGAAGTTTTATTTTTAGCGCCTTGGAGGTGCTATGGTACCATGACGTGCAAGCATAGTCATAGTACCCTTGAATGAGTGCTCCTGCCAGAGTTTTCAGGGTGTTTTTGTTTACCAGAGAGGAGATCCGGTATAGGAATCTAGTTCTTTGATTGACTTTTTTTATTACATTGGATGCCATTTTGTCACAGGAGAGGTTTGCCTCAAGAATAGATCCTAGGTATGTAATTTCCTTCTTACTTGTGACAATAATGTCACCCACTGCAACTGAGAAGTCGTCGGATTTGCTGAGATTATGTTTCGAACCGAAGAGAATGGACTCTGTTTTACCCAGGTGTAATGATAATTTATTATCGGCGAGCCAGGTGCAGATTCTGCCGAGCTCGGAGCTGAGGGTTTTTTCAACCTGCAATCTGCTCCTGTCAGAGACCAGCAGGGCTGAGTCGTCCGCGAACAGGAACAAGTTGCAGTCACATGCTGATGACATGTCATTTGCATAAATTAGGAACAGTAACGGACCTAATATGCTTCCTTGTGGAACACCACAGCTCACTGGGAGGGGGGGGGACAGAGTACCGTTTACCTCCACCATCTGTTCTCTCCCCTCCAGGTAGGATTGCATCCAGCTCACCGATAGTTTATCAAAACCAATTGCTTTTAGCTTGTCAATCAGAATGGGGTGATTGACAGTGTCGAAAGCCTTTTGTAGGTCCAGCATCACCATGCCGCAGTATTTACCCTCGTCCACCTCTTGTTTGATGTGGTCGTTCAAATAAAGAAGGCATGTGTCAGTGGAGTGGGATGTTCTAAAGCCAGATTGAAATTCATAGATTAGTTTCTTTTCTGCGAGGTACTTTTCGACCTGTTCATATACTATTTTTTCCATGACTTTCGAGATGGAGGTAAGTATAGAAACAGGGCGGTAGTTGCCTGGGTCCAATTTGCTGCCCTTTTTGTGCAGGGGGGTTACTCTTGCAATTTTGAAGTCTTTGGGTACTTTTCCCTGTTTTATGGAGAGGTTAATTATGTGAGCTATGACTGGTGAGATGGCGGTTGCTGTGTCTCTGAGGAATTTGGAGGGGATATTGTCGTGGCCAGTGGCCTTGTTAGGTTTGAGGGCGCTCAGTTTAATGAGTACCTCTGCTGTTGTTACCCTTGCTAGACTGAAATCATCTTTGCGTACCCCTAGGTTTTTGTAGTAGGTCATGATGTGATCTACTCCAAAAAGCCCTGAGTGGGAGGGTAATTTATTTACAAGAGTTGTGGCTATGTTTGTGAAAAAAATGTTCAAGTACTTGGCCACATCCAGTTTGTCTGTGATGAGCCTGTTATCTGTCTTTATGTTTACGTTTGAAAATCTCGTTTTGAGTTTTTTACTGCAGCCAAGCTGGTTATTGAGTAATTTCCAAAGTTCACGGGGTTTATTTTTGTTTTCCTCAGTTTTGTCATTGATGAAATTCTTTTTGGCAGTTTTGATCATGGAGCTTACGTCATTTCTTAGTCTGTTTCTTTCAATTTTTAGTTCAGTCACGTGGGCCTGGAGTTCACTGCTCGTGCTTTTGGAAAGCATTGACTGACTTTTATGAAACTCAGAGCATTTTTTGTCTCTGGTTTTCATGGCGGTCAGTATGCCGGAGTGCATCCACGGCTCAGCGCGATTTTTTACCCTGGTTGTTCTTAGGGGGGCCAAATCATTGAGTATTGCAGAGAATTTGTTTTTGAAACCAAGCCATGTTTCTTCAACTTGTGTACCACTGAGCTCATCTGACCAGTCCAGGCTCTCCAGTTCTAGGTTAAAGGCCTCGCTAGAGTAGTTTTTGAGGTCTCTAGATATGACTGTTTTGTGACAGCCGGCCTTTTGTTTTAGCTTTTTGCGGGTACAGAATATCATATAATGATCACTTAAACCGCATGCTATAACCCCTTTACTGGAGATCCTGGACCTGTCAGAGGTCAGAATGAGATCAATGGTAGTTTGTGTTGTTTCACATACCCGGGTGGGTTGGGTGATTAGCTGGCCACCCGTGCCCTGTGTACTACGAAGCCAGTTCAACAGACCCTGATATCTTTGAGTTATCTTAACTAACCCTAACAAAGAGATCTCACTAAACGGTCCTACGACGCTGGTTATCAACTCGGTAAATCAAGCCAGGGTTTCTCCGTCCAGCTGAGAGCGCGTTCAAGGGGCGGGGCTAGCAACATTTGACCAATCACAAACATGGACAAGCGTACTGACAGCGCAGCGTCATACTTCATTAATGAAAAGTAAACTATTAGACAAATATGAAGAAGTTAAACTTTAAACATCCATGACTTAAACACTTTATCCAGGATCAAAGCCACATAGCTGCACCTGCAAGGTGAATACAGCTGGTTAAAAAATAAATAAACTACAGAGTGTTTGAATGCATACATTAACAGGTTTATGATATCACTGCCCCGTCTAAGACACGAGTGGATCTGACTTTAATTACATTTGACTCGAGTGTTTCGTCAACTTAATGTGTTGCTTAAAATAATACTTCTGCATACAGTATGTGACACGGTGAGTGTTGCACGGCCAGATACGGCTCAAGAAGCTGACTCAAATAAGGAAATATATGATACATTATGATGTGATATGATCGATGATGTGATTGATGTGATTGATGTGATATGAATGATAAGTGCGACACGTCGCCGTCTTTCCTGCAACGGCAGTTAAACTGTATTTCCTTTATCCTGTAATATGACTTGATAGCTTTAAACTCCGCACACTGAGCTCTGATTGGTCAGCAGGCGGTGCTTTCACTGAGTTGATCTCTTATCTATAGACGCCGGAGGCGGGCAGCGTCAGGTAAAACAAGTTGTTTAGCCTTCCCAAACCTGAGCCTCACGCGCCGCCTATGGTGTTAAGTCTATCTCTGCAGCTCCACATTACTTTATTCAAAATGGTATTAACACATATTTAGCCTCTCACAAACATCGTACTCCCTGTTATTTGATTATAACACTAGTCCATTTTGCGATTCCGATACAATTTTGATTAATTGTGCAACCTCACTTCATTTGTTACCTGCGCCGCTCGGTGTGTCCCACATTAGACGCCTCTCATCCAACATGTGACCTCCATCTGTCAACACGAGCGGGGAAACAGCGGCAGAGTAAAAGTCACCACGGTTAATGTTGCGTTCAGTCTTCTGCCGTGCGTGTTAAGCGTTATTAATGGAGTGTGTGTTGCTAATTGCGCTGCGTCACTTGCTCTCACATGACTTTGGCCTTGGGGGAAAATGCCAGCGGAGGAACGTCATTAGAGGAGAGACTCTGACTGATGGATGGCGGCAGAAACCAGTACAAGGTTTACTCTGCAGACCAGAGGAAGTGTTCACATTAAACACAGGGGGTTCAAAGGTTCACCTGCTGTATTACTGCACGGTGTAACTGACTCAGGGACAGTTTCATCCCTCAGGCCATAAGACTGCTAAACACCTGAGCTCTGTAAAGTGCCTCGATAAACATTCATCTGTTTGTCATCTTGCAATCTACTTATTTATATAAATAGTTATCACCGCAATAAACCGTATTTAAATGTACATTATTTCATTTCATAATCTGCTCTTTTACATATATTATATTTACGTGTATATAGACTTTTATTATATATGTTGCATTGTTGGAGGAGCTGAGGTCAGAAGAATTTCATTGTCATTTCTACACTGTAGCTCATGTGCACATGACAATAAAACATTTGAATTTGAACGGTTCACCTGCATTTATAAAGCCGGGTTATAGACAGACTGACTCCTAACACTATTCTGTGACCGTGAGCAAATCCAACCAAAGCAGGGAGAAGCTTCTTATCAGATAGTTGTTCACTGTTACCTGCCCTTCACTAAACCAGCAGGGTATGTTCTTTAGTTTATCCACTGTTCGGATGGGAAGCAAATTTAGTACACTAACATTAAGTGTACTAAAAAGAGCCAAAGTGAAACTAGAGCTTCGTGGTAGATTTAATACAAATTTAAAATACATATTGTTAGAGGAAGGAATCACAATGCATACATCTAGGCTTATACTTGCTGTTGTGTTCACGGCATAATCTTATATACAACTCTATATACAGTGCCACAGTGACGCGTCCTAAAACCCGGAAGTAAGTCAGCATTTTACCACTTCCGGTTCCTTCGACAAAAAGCAATGGGATGTCTCCATAGGGTTTAGGAAAATATCTGAAATAAGGTCTGTGGTTGAGACACATTGAAGAGACGGATCACGTTTAGTTCTACGACATTAAATCCATCAGCAGTGACCCCACTGGTGATTTCTGAAGAGTTGACGTGTCTGAAAAACGATGGTTGTTACCAAGTGGCTGAATAGGACTACAGAAGTCGTGGAGGTCGTTGTACGTCATTACGCCGAACACGTAAACACTCCTCTAAGTCTGTTAGCCCTGTTCTGCTTGAAAGCAAGTACCTGCCTCCTGCAAACTGTTCAAACAAACGCTTCAACTCGTACCATTTAGAATCTGTATGTTTGAATATGGATCTGAAGTTGGCGTGACGTTGAAGTCGTGCTGCTGTACTCGCTGTAGTTCCTTTATAGCATAACGTTAGCATTTTGCTTCTGGCGACTAGATTTATGATTAGAACATTATAAAAGTAGGGTAGACATGTGGAGATTATCCGTCTGAACAAAACGTGATCCGTCTCTTAAATGTGTTTTCAACCACAGACCTTAATTCCAGCTATTTTCCAAAATCCTATGGAGAAATTGCATTGCTTTTTGTCGAAGGAACCAGAAGGAGTTTGCTTCCAGGTTTTAGGACGCGTCACTGTGGCACTCTATTCCTCTGCGTATGGAAACAAGTTTTCTGTAAGTTCATCAATCTACGCATGTTTGAACTTAATTCAGACGGAGGGTAAAAAGAGGAGCTGCAGCACCGGCAGTATGAGAAAAATAAAGAGCTTTTTGAACATTAAAGCATGGAGACATGTAGAGACACTACATAGATAAACTAAGTAAGGAAATGTGTGTTTGGTAGATTATTTATTTGTTTTAACAATGCTTCTTGGCAATACATCTTATACTGTTGGAAAGCCTGTTTTCTTACCTTTCAAATGGTGACACATTTTTGAGGAACAAGCATTTGTGGGATGAGCAGCAGAGCTGAGTGTGTGGGGTGCAAACATGAAAAATGTGACAGATCTCCAAGAAGCTTTGTTACAACAAAGCAATAATCTACCAAACACACATTCCGTGTTAGTTGAGATCATATTAAATTAAATATGGGGTTCCACAAGGATCTGTCTTGGGACCACTTTTTGTTCTTGCTGTGACTTTCGTAGACACATGGAAACAAAATACTTTTTGCAGAGTAAATAGTGTATAAATATATATATATATATATATATATATATATATATATATATATATAACTCATATGATTTATAATATATATGTGTGTGTGTTGTTCCCCCCTGCAGCTGTGTGAGTCTCTGGAGGAGCTGCTGAATGTGAACGGAGATCTGCGCAGTGAGGGCCAGGCCGTGTGGACTCTGCTGGGGGACATCATGGGACAGGTAACCAACACACACACACACACACACACACACACACACACACACACACACACACACACACACACACACACACACACACACACACACACTACCACCACCAACATCAACCCCCCCACACTCACTCACTCACTCTCTCACACACACACACACACATTACCACCAACAGCAACCCCCCCACACTCGCACACACACACACACTCTTTACTCAAACACATTATATTGTTCATTCCCAGCGCTGTGTGATGGAGAGTGATTCAGATGGTGATGGTGAACAGATAATAATGCAGTCTGGAAAGCTGCTTTTATTAAAAGAAATCCTTTTTTATTTTTGCACTAACTGACCCGTTGTTTCTCTGCGGGGAAGTGAAAGCCGTCTCCCGCTTCTTGTTACTATGGCAACCAATTGCCATGGGTGATGGGGCATTTATTAATCGTAAATTGCAATCTACAAAATTACACTGAGAGCTTATTTTCTCTCTCTGTAAAACACTTAATTTTAAAAGTCACTGTGAGCCTTTTAAAGGAAAAAATCCCCTCAAAAAACTCTTCCATCAGGAGAGACGCTGCAGCTTCAGAAAGGATGCAGATATAAAAACACAAATCAAAACACGTGAAGAAACATCTTCAGCAACTTGACAACACATGCAGCATTTAGAGAACATTCAGCAACTTGAGGAGACATGCGCAGCGTTTACTAAAAGCTGCAGAAACCAAACGCTGCAAGAAGCTCAAAACACAACGGAGACCAGGGGACACTAAAGAGTGACGCACACAGCTGGGAGACCAGGGGACACTAAAGAGTGACGCACACAGCTGGGAGACCAGGGGACACTAAAGAGTGACGCACACAGCTGGGAGACCAGGGGACACTAAAGAGTGACGCACACAGCTGGAGACCAGGGGACACTAAAGAGTGACGCACACAGCTGGGAGACCAGGGGACACTAAAGAGTGACGCACACAGCTGGGAGACCAGGGGACACTAAAGAGTGACGCACACAGCTGGGAGACCAGGGGACACTAAAGAGTGACGCACACAGCTGGGAGACCAGGGGACACTAAAGAGTGACGCACACAGCTGTTCCTTAATCTGACGACGATGAGAATAACATCACAGTCTTTTCACGCAGGTTAAATGTAAGGATCGTGTAATCGATTAATTGTAATAAATGGAACAGGCCATTATATTTTACAGTATTTTCTAGTAAAACTTTATCATCTTGAGCTCAAATATGATGTAAAGATTCTCTCTTTTTTAACCCTTAAAGTTATGTATGAATATTTATGTTTTTCCGCCGCGGTGCAGCAGACAGTGCAGTCACTCCTTTGGGGGTTTTATGTGTATAAGTACCTGCTGGATCCATAAAAAGCCTTATTAAAAGTATGAGGCGTGCAGATAAATGGTCAGAAGATGTTAATGCGGCGGCACAATGGACAGGAAGTGGCAGAAGACTGGCGGTGACTCTGAAACGAGGCAATAAATCACCTAATTATGAACACGCACCATTTAAGTAGCAACATCAGTCACCGCAGCGCATGCTTTTGTCGTCTATCTGCCACTTCTTCATCTCCTATTTGTCATCCTGCGCGGCCATTTGCAGGAATTATTGATGTCCCGTGCTGGGACTGTCATCCTTCTTCCAGTACCAACTCAGGGCTTTTGTTCTGGAAGCTGCTGGAAGTTTACTCCTGCTAACTTCACACACAAAAAGTTACTTTCCAGCTCCTTCATAAAATGCCATGAGGCTTAAGCGTATTTTAAAAAGGGCAAATGAAAGTGCTTCACAAAAAAATATATAAAAGCATTAAGACAATAGAAACATATTATACAATTACATTTAAATATATTTACATTGCTCAATCCAAACCGGAGAGGCTAATTTCTGACCATTGCACAGCTCTTCCAATTCCAGTTCCAACATACTTCACATTTTCTCAGAGTAAATTGTGTTATTCCTGTTGTACTAAAAAAATTGAAAATGTTGAAGAAAGTCTGAATTCTGGGAAAAAGTCAACATAAAAAATAAAGTAATAATTTGGAGAAAAAAAATCAAAATCTAGGAATAAAATCTGAATTCAGACGGAAGTAAAAAATGTGGGAAAAAAGTCAACATTTACAAAAAAAAGGCACAATTCTGAAAGAAGTTAGAATCCTGATTAAAATATCTGAAAAGTAAAAATCGGAAAAAAGTAATAATTCTGGGGAAATAAAAAAAATGAACTGAATTTTGGAAGCGAGTCATAATTCTTGAAAAAAAAAAATAGTAAGAATTCTTTGAAAAAAGTTAATTCTGACAAAAGCCATAATTTTATTAATATTCAGATTTCTGAGGAAAAAAATGAAAGTCATTATTCTGGGGGGGAAATTAAAATCTTGAAAGAAAAAGTCATTCTGGGGAAAAAATAAATCAGAATAAAAACCTTTGAGATTTTCAGAATTCAGAGGAAAAAAAAATCTACATTTTGAGAAAAAGTCAGATTTATGGGAGAAAACATTCTGGATCTCAGAACCCCCAAAAATGCATGCACCCGAGGAAACAACACATACATAGGTGTAAGAAGTCAGGAGGAGTAGTCAGGGTGTCCGCGGGGTCTTAAAAAGTATTAAAGGGCATTTTCCAAGGTATTACATTTTGTAGCTTGTTTTCAATAAGTATATAAATTGTCCAAAGAGGTTGTATTCTACAGTGTGCCTGAATGTAATCATTGCGTAGGTGTGTAGTGTGATTCTGTGTAGTTTATTTATGGCATCCCGTTGGATTTGACGTCATCTGAACAGGACATCGCACGCTCACTGCTTGATAGCGTGCGAAGGTCCGTTTACGCCGGTTGTTAAACAACATCGTTATGGGGAAATGCAAGTTTGCGTCCAAATGGTTGGAAGATAAGGAGGAAGGACAATCAATACTGTATATAGTCAATGTGAGGTGAAGTGTGTCGCCAAGGTAACTGGTTACAACTCAAAGTGGCGATGAGGTCTTAAAATGTATGGAAAGGGTCTTAAAAAAGGTCTTAAAAGGTCTTACATGTGACTTCAGGATTCCTGCATATACCCTGAGTAGTGTTCCTCAGATAATTATGAAACAAATGTCCCTTAGCAGAACGCTTTGTGCCACAGCTTGTTGTTTTTCCTGTATTGAATACTTGTAAAAGTGGGCAGTTTGCTGGTGCTCTGACATGTTGTGATGTTTCCATTCCCCCCGAGGACTCGGCAGCTGAAAGCCTTAAAGCTGTTTCCTCTCACTGTTTATAATCTGTACCTCTAAACTTCTTCATCTGTCTGATAAGGCTTGTTTAACGTGTTGATAGCTCCGTATCGGCAGCAGAGACACTTTCTGGTGTCCGCATGCAGGCAGACTGAAGTCCAGCTGAGCAGATAGGCAGAATGTAGCCTCCCTCTCTATCAAGAGCCCAGATTACAGCGTCCTCCTCGGGGAAAAGGCTCCTCTGTTTAGTGACAGACTCAGCCCTGACAGATACGCTTTCTAATTAACCTGCCTGGCAGAAATGCACCTGATTTCACCTGCCGTACAACAGGTTCCTCTCTGTTCAGCTGCGAGGGAAGAACTTTATCTGGACTAGTCCAAACTCTGTCCAACACAAAGCAGCTGCTCGATAACAACTTGTCACTTGGAGGAAACTCTGACTGTGACTTTGGCAACAAAATCCCCCTGCAGTCTCACTCTCCTCTGGTGGAGTTTGGGCAACAGAACGTGGATTCATTGCACACAAAAAGAGAGGAAATACTTAATTATTCTTATGTCATTTTTTCGAATGTAGGAGTACCACAACCGGATGAATACACACTTTAATGGGGGTGGTCCTTAAATGTGGAATGACTCAGCATTTGCAAATAAAATCGAGACATGTGGAGACCACCAAAGTGTCCGTCATAGCTGTACCCTGAAATCATTTGTGCCTTTTTTATTTTATTTATTTTTAGAAACTGAACACCCCTGCTGTTCTGAAAGCCCCAAAGGAAAGGAAGCCCAGCAAGAAGGAGGGAGGAACAACAGGGAAGGCCTCCAGCCTGCCAGCGATACTCTACAGGTGAACACACACACACACACACACACACACACACACACACACACACACACACACACACACACACACACACACACACACACACACACACACACACACACACACACACACACACACACACACACACACACACACACACACAGGGTCCTCAGAAAATAATAGGAAGGTTAAATGGTCAAGTGAATATAGGACACCCAAGGACAGACAGACAAGCAAACAAACAGAACGTTGAAGAGTACAGTGACTAAGCTGGTCCTGGAAAAATTAGGCTTTAGTTGTAAAAAATGTAAATGGTTTCTGATGTGTGTTAGTTACAATGATTTTGGCATTTTCCTCTAGGTTTGCAAGACAGCGCAGAACATTTTCCTGAATATGTGTGTTACTTGATTGTGCAGGTCCCCACTAACACAAGGACACCACTGCTGTGTCTCAAATCATGTGTCTAAAACCCTTATTTATATGACTAAAAAACATTGGTTTATCTTTCTCTTTCTTAATGACCCTTAACCAGCTTTTCATCAAACATAATGGCACACGTTTCTTGCTATTTTACTTTTGCATCTTCAAGTTTCTCTGGATAAACTCGTCAGCTCAATGCCTTCATGTATTCCTGCAGTTGTGGCATCTGTAAGAAGAACCAGGACCAACACCTGCTGGTTCTGTGTGACACCTGCAAGCTGTACTACCACCTGGGCTGCCTGGAGCCGCCTCTCACACGCATGCCCAAGAAGACCAAGAACAGCTACTGGTGAGGACACGGAGACACAGAGACACTTATATATGGAGACACTTAGACACTTAAATATGGAGATACCTAGATATGGAGACACTTAGACACTTAGATATGGAGAGACATAGACATGGAGACACTTAGACATGGAGACACTTAGATATGGAGACACTTAGCCATGGAGACACGGAGATATGGAGACACTTAGATATGGAGACACGGAGATATGGAGACACTTAGATATGGAGACACTTAGATATGGAGACATGTAGACACTTAGATATGGAGAGACATAGACATGGAGACACTTAGACATGGAGACACTTAGATATGGAGACACTTAGCCATGGAGACGCGAAGATATGGAGACACGGAGATATGGAGACATGTAGACACTTAGACATGGAGACACTGAGACATGGAGACACAGAGACATGGAGACATGGAGACATGGAGACACTGAGACATGGAGACACTGAGACATGGAGACACGGAGATATGGAGACACTGAGACATGGAGACACAGAGATATGGAGACATGTAGACATGGAGACACTTAGATATGGAGACACGGAGATATGGAGACACTTAGACATGGAGACACAGAGATATGGAGACATGGAGACATGGAGACACTGAGACATGGAGACACGGAGACATGGAGACATGGAGACACTGAGACATGGAGACACTGAGACATGGAGACACTGAGACATGGAGACACTGAGACATGGAGACACGGAGACATGGAGACACTGAGACATGGAGACATGGAGACACTGAGACATGGAGACACTGAGACATGGAGACATGGAGACACGGAGACATGGAGACACTGAGACATGGAGACACGGAGACATGGAGACACAGAGATATAGAGACATGGAGACACTTAGACATGGAGACACTTAGACATGGAGACATATAGACATGGAGACACTTAGATATCGAGACTTATTTCTAAAAATGATATAATAAATAACTGTTTTATTCAGTCTTATCACCAACAATGACAATATCATTCTAGAAACTTAAAAAAGCATATTTATTTTAGTACAAATCCTCTTAATAATCATTGTATTATATTTCTCTATGATATTATAAAATAATGTTTAATAAATTATGAATCCCCCCCCCCCCCGAGTGTCATGGGTCAAATCATATTCACATTTCAGTCAAAATCATCAAAACTGGATGTTTCCTCTGCATCGTGCAGCCTTATGTCCTCCTGAGACTAACCCCCCCCCCCCCCCCTCTTTATGTGGATATTAACAGTAGTATTTTTCAAACTTGCAGTACTTTACTTATCACATGAGGATCCAGAGTTTGTTTATTCATGTTCGTCTGACATTTGTGGCTGCAGGAATATCAGATGGTAGAAATGTCACTCTCTTCCTGCAGCTCCTTATCTACAGCAGATGTAGTGAATCCATCTTTTAAACATACGATAGATTGAAGATATCGTGATGCTTAGTGAGGTGCTACTTCCTGTTGTATGATTAAAAAAACAGCTATTTGTGTTGTTCCCTCTCCTGTAGTGTGTTTTATAGGTTTTAGTGCATGTTAATGGTCTGCAACGGCTAACATCACTGTGTTCCCTCTCCTGGAGTGTGTTTTATAGGTTTTAGTGCATGTTAATGGTCTGCAACAGCTAAAATCCCTGTGTTCCCTCTCCTGGAGTGTGTTTTATAGGTTTTAGTGCATGTTAATGGTCTGCAACAGCTAAAATCCCTGTGTTCCCTCTCCTGTAGTGTGTTCTATAGGTTTTAGTGCATGTTAATGGTCTGCAACGGCTAAAATCCCTGTGCTCCCTCTCCTGTAGCGTGTTTTATAGGTTTTAGTGCATGTTAATGGTCTGCAACAGCTAAAATCCCTGTGTTCCCTCTCCTGTAGTGTGTTCTATAGGTTTTAGTGCATGTTAATGGTCTGCAACGGCTAAAATCCCTGTGTTCCCTCTCCTGTAGCGTGTTTTATAGGTTTTAGTGCATGTAAATGGTCTGCAGAGGCTAAAATCCCTGTGTTCCCTCTCCTGTAGCGTGTTCTATAGGTTTTAGTGCATGTAAATGGTCTGCAGAGGCTAAAATCCCTGTGTTCCCTCTCCTGTAGCGTGTTCTATAGGTTTTAGTGCATGTTAATGGTCTGCAACGGCTAAAATCCTTGTGTTCCCTCTCCTGTAGTGTGTTTTATAGGTTTTAGTGCATGTAAATGGTCTGCAGAGGCTAAAATCCTTGTGTGAGGGACTTTCTCTCTTAGATTCGATATACTTTATTCATCCCAGATTGGGCAATTGTTTTGTCGCAGCGGGTGTTGCTCATAGATATAATAAAATACAAGTAGAACAAAATAAAAGTTGAACATAATCAGTAAAACATATCCACAGTTGAAAAGCGTAACTAAAGAATCATATAAAATAAATACTCTCTTCCCCTTAAAGACAAAGATCAGAATCAGAATACCTGTATTAGTCCCACAGAGGAGACATGCACATTGTTACAGCAGAAAAGAGCCGAAGACAGCTTCATGTAAACTAAGAAGTATGCATTAAAAAAAGAAAATGTAAGATAAAAAAACAACTGTTTGTTATATTAAACGTCTTTAGATTTGATGATGGAGTCAATAGAGTGTATTCTTCTTCAGGCAATGCTCAGAGTGCGACCAGGCCAGCAGCGACGAGGCTGACATCGCCATGGAAACGCTGCCGGACGGCACCAAGAGGTCGCGGCGGCAAATCAAAGGACCAATCAAATTCATCCCTCAGGAGATGTCCCCGGAGCCCAAGAAGCATCAGGTGAGAGGACGCCTAAAAACTGCTGAAAACACAAATACTGAAAAAGTGTGCGTCTAAACTCAGACTGATCGATCGGCATTGATTACTAATAATTAAGTCCTCGTTATCCCCCTGCCCTGCTGGAGGTTATCAGAAAGACAGCGGATGAGAGTTTGTTCCCCTGAGCGGAGAATAGGACGGCTGAATACAAACGGCAGTGAACAGCAACAGTCGTATGGAGAAGGATCAGGGACACATGTGACTTTCATTTTTTAGAGCTGACCAGAAAAAGTATTTTTATTTTTAGAGGAAAAAAAATCTGAATTCAGACTTTCAGAGATTTTTTTTTTTTTAAATTTCAGGAAAAAAAGCTCTGGATTCTGACTTTAACCACAGAATTCTAAGAATAAAGTCATCATTCAGAAAAAAATGATTAAGAAATAAAAATACAAAATAATAATGAAGTCAGAATTTCAGAGAAAGGGTTGAAACAAAGAATCAATGTGTGAGTGTGGCCCTTTAAGAGCCTGAGTGTGGCCCTTAAAGAGCGTGAGTGTGGCCCTTTAAGAGCGTCAGTGTGTGAGTGTGGCCCTTTAAGAGCGTCAGTGTGTGAGTGTGGCCCTTTAAGAGCGTCAGTGTGTGAGTGTGGCCCTTTAAGAGCGTCAGTGTGTGAGTGTGGCCCTTTAAGAGCGTCAGTGTGTGAGTGTGGCCCTTTTTAAGAGCGTCAGTGTGTGAGTGTGGCCCTTTAAGAGCGTCAGTGTGTGAGTGTGGCCCTTTAAGAGCGTCAGTGTGTGAGTGTGGCCCTTTAACCTCTTCTACACCACACCCCCGATATTGGGGGAAAAAACGCGTCATCTGAGGAAACAGTGTCTGAGGGCATCTTAATATTTAATAAACTATGAATGTTTTATATCCATGTAACGGGAAGAAACTCATCTAACTGATCATTTTCATTTTTTTTTCCAAAAAAACCCCACAATGCTAACGCTGAGCCTCTGAATTAGCAACGAGCGAAAAATGCTAACAGATTACTGCACCGAAATTCACTCACAAAACCTTATTATTTATCTTTTCTGCACATCCAACACATCGTTTCACATCGTGAGGTGACACAGAATCGATGGGTACATACATTATCATTAGAAACAAAAACAGACATCAAAACATGTGGCGCTAGGTAGCTAAAAACGCTAACATGGCTTACCTGTGTCGTAGTCTGGTCAAAAGTGGTCTTCAAGGCATTAAAACGATAAAAACGCTGCTGAAGTTAATCTAATGTGTCTGTGTCCTCTTTGAAATGATTTCTGATAATCCATTAGCAATAAAACTGCTTTTCCGTTTCCAGATGTCAGAGCTAGAGATAGGTTCGCTCTGATGCAAAACTGCATGCGCGAAGCCCGCACCTTTTTTTTGTACCATGTGTGTGAGTGGGGAGATTCCCCTTCGATTCTATTGGCTCTAACGGTCAGTAAGAGATGTCAATCACCAAAATCGACCAATGGGTTCCAGAGAAACGGTAAAATCCCCATTTCCACCCAAATCACCTCAGAGGTGGAGTTTTTTTTGCTAAACCTCTCTAAAAAGGTCAAATGTCACTTGTTTTGCATCAATCTTGATACAGGGTACTTATTATATGTTGTACTTTGGATTCCTAAAGCTTTTAGTCTACTAACCCATCATCCAAGGGTAGTTTTCACTATAAGTAAAAAATAATTTTTGGACGGACACTATAATTTACAGTTTTTTACTATGTTCAATCTGAATTTTCTTTAAAATAAAAAACATCTATATTGATTCTGACTTTTCTACATCCAACTCACAGGTTTATCATTACTTTGAGAAAAAAGATTATTAATTTAACCCTTTTAGAAGTGAAGATATGGTCATTTGTTCTGGGAATGTCATTTTCGAGCCTGAGACCTGAAAAACAGGCTCAGTGCTTAACAGGTTAAGAGCGTCAGTGTGTGAGTGTGGCCCTTTAAGAGCCTCAGTGTGTGAGTGTGGCCCTTTAAGAGCGTCAGTGTGGCCCTTTAAGAGCGTCAGTGTGTGAGTGTGGCCCTTTAAGAGCGTCAGTGTGTGAGTGTGGCCCTTTAAGAGCCTCAGTGTGTGAGTGTGGCCCTTTAAGAGCCTCAGTGTGTCTTCCTGTAGGAACATTTGGTGTCAGAAGCCTCTCCATCCCTCACTGGATCCTCCTTATCTTTACCCATGCTCTGATCCTCAGATACAGACCCCCCCCCCCCCCCCCCCCCCCCCCCTCTCTCTCTCTCTCTCTCTCTCTCTCCCTGAGGATATTCTGCAGATTGATATCTGACAGCTCTCTGCAGAGGGGGGGCTCTTCACTTCACTTTTTGTTTTCCCACTGTCAGTGTGTGACCCGGTGATCTCTTCAGGGACTTCAGGGACTCTTTAGAGAAAGAGTCAGTTCTGCTGAAGCTGCTGCTGTCTCTCTTGCTGACAGAACAGCTGATGACTGAGGAATATGAGAAACATGGATATGAGAAGTGGTGAAGATCCATCTCGATATCATGTCTGAGCTAGAGTCAGGTGTTAGCTTAGCTGCCTTTAGGCAGGGAGAAACGCTTAGGGTAATGTGAATTATTAATTTGTTTATTTGAGTACAAACGTATTAGACCAAGTATTCTGAGCTGATAATGGTGGTGGAAGAAAGGTGCCATTTCTCTAGGAATAGTTTAAGATGATATTTGACTGCCTGTGCTGCTCACTTGAGACGCTATGGACTTTCCTTTTGTGGATACTGGAGTCAATTGCTTTGTGAAAAATAGAGAAATATGAAGGAGTGTAAGCCCCTTCTCTCTCAATATGCAATCATTACATCCTAATTTATGTTTTCTGTGTGGGTGGGTGGGTGGGAAGTCCATGGATGCTGTTTTACTGCCTTTGTGCTGCTCACCTGAACTCTGAGGGGGCTGTTGTTAGAAATATAGAAATGAATGAAGTAGTCTGAGTCTCCGAGTGTTACCCGAGGGTTAAATGTGTTTCTCTGCTCTGGTTCGGGTGCAGTCATGTGACCCGCTGCAGCTCTCGGGGATTAACCAGTGAAGCGTTTATCTTCAAATGCAAGGCGCGACGCGGCAGACACTAAAAGGCCTGCTTTGCATTTTTAATGCTTTTACCAGAAACACTCCTCCAAAGCCATGTTTCACTTTATCAGGAGCGGCTAATCAACCCCCCGCTGGCCTCCTGAGAGTGTGTGTGTGTGTGTGTGAGAGTGTGTGTGTGTGTGTGTCCAGAGGGTCTAACATGGTCCAGTGCCACTTTGATGAAGCAGAGACTCCTGCCTGCTGGAGGAAAACCTTTAAAGTCAACCTGTGAGATGGGTTTTATTCAGCATGTACGTAGAGTCGCACCTGTAAGATTAATGCTCCATAGCGTCTGAAGGTACACACACACACACACACACACACACACACACACACACACACACACACACACACACACACACACACACACACACACACACACACACACACACACACACACACACACACACACACACACACACACACACACACACACACACACACACACACACACACACACACACACACACACTACTTTGTCCAGACAGGGCTTCATGCAAGGACGACTCATTAACACGCGTCAGGTCTTCATGGTGTGTGAAAGAAGCGCTCCTCCTCTGTCGTGCATCAGTTTTATTGGCCGACATTTCTCACTGTCAGCGGCTTTTATTCCCCGGCCTGATGCTCCGTGAGGTCGTTAATCACGGCGCTAATTAACTGGAAGTGTTCCTGAGAAGCAGTCAGAGCACAAGGAAGATCATTTAATGAGAGAGAGAAGAAGTTTGAAACAGAGAGAAAACACACACTTTCTGTTTATGGTGGATTTAAGGTTTCAGTAAAACAGTGTAACTGTGGCTAATGCAGAACATGGGAAACATTTCAAATCCAGCCGTTTAATTTGACTTCGGATGTGAGCAAAAATAGCTTCTTATCAAAAGTACCCTCAGCCACTATGGAGAACTCACGCTCCGCTCCTATTGGCTAGCGCTCCAACACATTGTTCGTGATAGGCTAAGGGGCGGGACATCTCTAAGCTGTTGACCAATCACAACAGAGCCGGCCAGCTAATTAATCAGAGCAGCTCTGGTTTTCAGACAGAGGGTGAAAAGAGGCAGTGTGAGAAAAATAAAGAGCTTTTTGAACATTAAACCATGGATACATTTTTCTGATAATTTGTATTTTGCATATTAACTTTTTTTCAGTTTCCATTTTTTTTCATAATTACATTTTTTTCCGTAGAATTTTCGATTTTCTTAGAATTTCAATTATTTGTCAAAATGTCCCTTTTTTTTCTCATACACATTTTTATTCAAATTCCCCTTTTTTCTAATTTTCCTTTAAAAAATTTCCTTTTTCAAAATTTCCTTTTTTCTCATTTGATTTTTTTTCATATTTTCAAACTGTTTAAGAATTTTTGCTTCATACGAATTTTAATTCAAAGTTTCACTTTTTTCTTATTTGACTTTTTTCTCAGAATTTTGACAAAAGGTATATATATTTAACTGCCAAATTAAAGCCAAATATCCATTCCAGTTTTTTAATCTTGGGATACCGTATATTATTCTGTGGTTAGTTAAAGTTAGTAACATCCATACAGTCTGACTTAATAACAGAACATCAGTGGTTGACCAATCAGAGCAGCTCTGGTTTCAGACAGAGGGTGAAAAGAGTCCTAATTACTCCCACTGCAGTTAAAGGTTAATAAACAAAATGTGCTTAAGTGTTTTTAATGTGAAGCAGTGATTATTAAGGGGGTTTGAAGGGGTTTCTGGGTTCAAGAGGGGATAATAAAAAGCTCCCGTAATGAGACATGATGTACCGCTAACATTAAACCCCCGATATGAACATATGCCATTAATCAGCTGTAGATGATGAGAACGAAGTTAATATATGTAGTAAGTACCACTTCCTATGCTCTGTTAATTCCTCTAATCCTGTGTGAAGTGATTCATGCTTGTTAAAGATGCACTGATGGACTTAATTAAAAGATTGATTTAGCCCTCCGTTTTAATTTCCTCACCTGAGCAGAGAATGAGATTAGCGTTTTCACACCGCTTCGCTTTTATAAGTGACGGTGCAAACTGTGGGGGAAATACCACTCTTAATCACCTTCTGGTAAGAAAATAACAAATATACAAGCTCAAACTAAAGTTGTGTCATTTAATAAAGAGTTATAGCATTTTAACAGAATCCTGCACGAGCAAATAGTGCCAAGATCTGCCCGAGTTACACAGAGAAGCAATGACTTCATACAGAGGAGCAGGAAACAAAAGGGACGTAAGACATGCTCATTATAACGGGTAACATCCGTATGATAGTTTGCCTGAAAAAGGTCTGTCGAATGCAAGAGAAAGAGGTTTTTTTATTACTGCACATATTTGATTCCATTCTATTTCAATGTAATTACTGCTTTATTTTTTAATGTTAGTATAGGTTTCTTAAAATAGTTCTCTATCTGTGTTTTACATTTTTTGTTTTACTTGCATGTATGCACCACGACATCAAGTCAAATTCCTCGTACGTGTCGACCTACCTGGAAATATACCTGTTTCTGATTCTGAACAGAAGGTTGCCAGTCTTTTGTATTAAAGGTCTCCTATCATGCAAAATGCACTCTCTGATGTCTTTTCTACATCACCATGTGTCCCCGGTGTGTCAGGAGACTCACAAAGTGATGTCTTTTCTACATCAACATGTGTCCCCGGTGTGTCAGGAGACTCACAAAGTGATGTCTTTTCTACATCAACATGTGTCCTCGTGTGTCAGGAGACTCACAAAGTGATGTCTTTTCTACATCACCATGTGTCCCCGGTGTGTCCCCGGTGTGTCAGGAGACTCTCAAAGTGTCAGGAAATAAAACCCTCTCTCTTTTCCTCCGTACCCACATCTCTAAAAACGGGGAACAACGGAGCTGATTCAGATTTGCTGCGTCATGACGACATGACTAAAATGTAAAATGTGCTTTACACCCACGGGCCAATCAGAAACGTTGCTGTCAGAAACAATGAGACGTGTTCTGGAAGTAATATGGTCTGTGTTTACATTAGCATCGCTAACACTCAGAGCTAACCTGTACTGGAGAGAGCATGTGTGAAGAAGCAGGAAATAAAAAGGAACTCACCTCGTGGTAAACCTGAGAGAGAGAAAGAGTTTGAGCTCCATACTGTTTCAGAGAGAATCCTTGATGTGGTTTGGAACATGATATGGAGTTTTTTTTTTTCAAGCTAAGGACCCAGAATCATCACTTTTAGTAACGGGGCTGAAACAGAGGGGGATGAGGGATTTCTAAAATGCATGATCTGTTTGGTATTTTGAGCAAAACACATCATAGACATGTTTTTAATATATTTGTATATATCTGAGACCCATAATACATGCCTAAAAATAGCATGATAGGAGACCTTTAAAGGTGTGATAAAGCCTGGGAATGACAGCCGTGCTGATACATTCCTACGGTTACAGACCTGGTTGCAGAACTCTATTGGCGCTTTTCCACTGCAGCACGTAGCACGGTTTCTTTTGCTTTTCCACTAGGGGTAGTTCCGAGTCGGGGCTACTTTTTCACCTTTTTTCTGGCCCTCCAAAATCGAGGTTCTTACCGGGCCAACAACCGGGCTGAATATGCTAAACTAGTGACGTAAACACTCTCGACTGCTGAATGGTCAGAGAGAATCGCTGGCTCGGGGGCTACAACTACAACAAAATGAACATATTTGACCGTGATTTAATTGTAATACACGTTTAAAAAATGATGAAGAAGTAACAACATACTGATACCGGTTAGTAAAAACCATGAATTAATGCTTTGACAAGTCTGCAGACAGACGGCAGGCGAAACACCTTTTAAAATGCGTGTTTTCTAAATGGAGATTGGCTAAGCTAACGTTGTATATGCTCCGTCCACACTCACAACAACGGCCTATACAGACATAAATAAAGCAACGACTGTATTCACCATGACACAGACAGTCTGTGGTTTGTACTTGTTTAACTTTTGTCTAGTTTCTGAACAGATATGAGGAGCTGTGAGCTCTGAGGGCTAACAGCTAACGGCGGATGTTTTTGTTTTTGTGGTTCGCGTTGAAGATGACGTCACGGCAGTTTTACGCAGCGTCGCTCCGCCCGCCGAACAGCCGATCGCCCCGCCTACACTGCGTTACTATAGTTACTGCCTCTGTTCCTAAACTCTAATGGAAACGCAGCATAAAGTGAGCCTGGCCTACCAAGGCCTAACCATACCGTACTAAGCCGCTAAGCTAAAATATGTTACTCCCCATTAATATGTGGCTTCCTACCATTTGTTATGAATCATTACACTGAAAATGAGCCTCACAGGCTTCCTTATATCTTAATGGATAACACTATAGTTGAATACATTTGTTTGTATCTCTACTGGAGTTTCCTTAGGTACCAGTAAAGTAGATCTTTCTGTCCTCGGTCAAATCTAGTCTCAGGTTTGTCCCACTAACCTGAGACTAGAATCTGTTCCTCCCCAGTAAAAGGTGGCCTCCTACCCTTTGTTATTAAAATGAACACATTGAAAATGACCCACACAGGCTTCCTTATATCTCAATATACCTCGTCATAGTTTAATGAAGTTTCTAAAAGCTGTTTGTATCTCTGTATCGAGGTATTAGGAAAGTATTCTGAGTTTCTATAACCTAAAAGTCTCTGGGTTTGACAGCTACTGATAAATTCCTACGGTACAGACCTGGCTGCAGGATTCACTGAATGATGTGTTTTCTGGTTCTTCTGGAGGTTCTGCAGCAGCAGTTTGGCAGCGAGCGCGCGGTTCTTAATGATAAATGCTCCATCTGGAGAGCGGTGGTGCCGAGCCAAAAGGCGACAGATGGCATTGTTTTCACAATCTGTTTAAATATGTTGTTGATTTTTCTGCCTCTTTTTAAAACCTTCCCCAGCAGATCCAACACAACAAGGAGAGGGTGTTTGATTTCCTTCATGCTGCTGTGAGGAGTGTTTGTTCATGTTTTATAGACGGAGTCAGAGTCCTTTTAGTGCCACAGCAGCTTAATGCAGAGTCCTCTAAAGCCTAATATAGGTAGACAGTGTTGGTCCCTGAATGCAGCATCTCTCTGGTCCAATGGGATTTCTGCATTGGACTTTGGGTTAGGTCAGAGATCTGAATAAGATTTTAGTGAGTAAATCAAACTGTATCTTAAAGTTAGGAGTGTCGATCCACTCAAAGTTCAAATGGATGTGTTTTGTGTTTAACGTTTGTTTGTTTTGTGTTTTGCAGAGAACCAGAGGTCAGAAGAGGAAAAGAGTTGCTATCGGTGACGACAGAGACGATAAAACTGAGGTTTGTCTTCATGCTTCAGAACCATAAATACATGCATGTTGTGAGAGAATCAGCTCAGCACTGAAGAGGAACTTCTTATGAGATCTGACAAAAAGTCCAAACACAACGGAGACCAGGGGACACTAAAGAGTGACGCACACAGCTGGGAGACCAGGGGACACTAAAGAGTGACGCACACAGCTGGGAGACCAGGGGACATTAAAGAGTGACGCACACAGCTGAGAGACCAGGGGACACTAAAGAGTGACGCACACAGCTGGGAGACCAGGGGACACTAAAGAGTGGACGCACACAGCTGGAGAGACCAGGGGGACACTAAAGAGTGACGCACACAGCTGGGAGACCAGGGGACACTAAAGAGTGACGCACACAGCTGGGAGACCAGGGGAACACTAAAGAGTGACGCACACAGCTGGGAGACCAGGGGACACTAACGAGTGACGCACACAGCTGGAGACCAGGGGACACTAAAGAGTGACGCACACAGCTGGGAGACCAGGGGACACTAAAGAGTGACGCACACAGCTGGGAGACCAGGGGACACTAAAGAGTGACGCACACAGCTGGGAGACCAGGGGACACTAAAGAGTGACGCACACAGCTGGGAGACCAGGGGACACTAAAGAGTGACGCACACAGCTGGGAGACCAGGGGACACTAAAGAGTGACGCACACAGCTGGGACGTTCAGGATTATAAAGCTGAACAACATCTTTACTTTTTTTTTTTTTTCGAATTTAGAATCATTTTTGATGTTTCTTTGTGAGTGGGAGGCGTGTGGCGTAGTGGATAGAGCCTTGGTATGGGGATTAGATGGTCACAGGTTCAAACCCCACTGCAGCATGTCGTTGTGTCCCTGAGACACTTCACCCCAAATTGCTCCTGTGGGGATTGCCCACAGTATTGAGTATGTTAGTCGCTTTGGATAAAAGCGTCTAACAAGTGACATGTAATGTAATGTGAGTTTTGGAACATTTGTGTTTTTTACGCTTCCAGACGAGCTGATGAGACCCCTGATAAATGTTTTTTGGGAGATGTTTCTCTGGTGTGTCCTCCAACAAATTTCCCGCACATCCCCCATAATAGTCCCTGTGTTTCCATAGGAACCGATGCCACGGGAACGCCGGCAGAGACAGTCGGCTCTTCAGAAAAAACCGAAAGCGGACGATACGAGGACCGAATGCACGAGCTGCAGCGGGCCGGGAGACAACGAGAACCTCGTCAGGTGAGAGAGAAAGAGTGTGTGAGACGGTGTGTGTGTCTGAGTGAGAGAGAGTGTGTGTGTGTCTGTGTGAGTGTGTGTGTGTCTGAGTGAGTGTGAGTGTGTGTGAGAGAGAGAGAGAGTGAGTGTGTGTGTGTCTGGGGCTCAAGTTCCTGTGAAAACATTGATCCCACCCAGATATCCCTCTCTCTCTCTTTCTCTATTTCCCTCTCATCATTGCTTCATCCCATAATGTCACTAAATACGTTGTTGCCATGGCGACCACAGATTCATATTGTGTTTTTGGGTTCATTGTCGAGGGTCTCATCCACTGTTCGAGGTGCGTTTCTGTCTCTGGAAGACTGGGTTTTTTTCTTTTACATTTTATTTTATTTGGTGGGGTGAAACAAATCAAGTTTGGTAATACTTAAGATAATTTATGGACACACACAATTTCAAAAGTTTGAAATGCAACGACTAATATTGGCTCTTTAAAGCTATTTTAGGCCACCTCTTACTGTTGTTTAGGTTATAGGTCAGGTTTGACTTTAATACTGGACAACTGTGTGTGTGTGTGTGTGTGTGTGTGTGTGTGTGTGTGTGTGTGTGTGTGTGTGTGTGTGTGTGTGTGTGTGTGTGTGTGTGTGTGTGTGTGTGTGTGTGTGTGTGTGTGTGTGTGTGTGTGTGTGTGTGTGTGGTGTGTGTGTGTGTGTGTGTGTGTGTGTGTGTGTGTGTGTGTGATGTGTGTGTGTGTGTGTGTGTGTGTGTGTGTGTGTGTGTGTGTGTGTGTGTGTGTGTGTTGTGTGTGTGTGTGTGTGTGTGTGTGTGTGTGTGTGTGTGTGTGTGTGTGTGTGTGTGTGTGTGTGTGTGTGTGTGTGTGTGTGTGTGTGGTGTGGTATCCTCCTGATGATTAAAGTTCAGTCTTCATTAGGCTCTCTCTATTGACCTGCCACACATTTGCACAGTTCATTACGGCCAAATGAAAAGCACAATTTATTCTGCGGACTCGGAGCCGGACGGATAATCAGCGGGAATTTCTCTCTCTGACATCTCGGGAATTCTGTGAGGAAATAAGAAACTGGATCACAGCTGAGGAGAGAGGGGAAACATCTCTACGGTTTCATCAGGACTATATTCCCTTTACGTGTTTCCAGAGGTGGAAGAAGTACTCTGTAGGATCCTTAAAGTACTCTGTAGGGTCCTTAAAGTACTCTGTAGGATCCTTAAAGTACTCTGTAGGGTCCTTAAAGTACTCTGTAGGATCCTTAAAGTACTCTGTAGGATCCTTAAAGTACTTTGTAGGATCCTTAAAGTACTCTGTATGATCCTTAAAGTACTCTGTAGGATCCTTAAAGTACTCTGTAGGATCCTTAAAGTACTCTGTATGATCCTTAAAGTACTCTGTATGATCCTTAAAGTATGCTGTATGATCCTTAAAGTATTCTGTATGATCCTTAAAGTACTCCGTTTGAAGTCCTGAATTAAATAATACTTTAACAGAAGTGTACGAAATGTACTTCAAGTATTAAAAGTACTCTCCACCTGTCTTCCTCTCCACCTGTCTTCCTCTCCACCTGTCTCTCCACCTGTCTTCCTCTCCACCTGTCTTCCTCTCCACCTGTCTTCCTCTCCACCTGTCTTCCTCTCCACCTGTCTTTCTCTCCACCTGTCTTCCTCTCCACCTGTCTTCCTCTCCACCTGTCTTCCTCTCCACCTGTCTTCCTCTCCACCTGTCTTCCTGACTCCTTTAATCACTGCAACAACACCTCCCATAACTCATCAGAAGTCATGTGATCACACTTTAATGTCTCTTTCCCATCTGTTTACCTTCTGTCAGAAACACGCAGCACTTTAAACAACATAAAGAACTATAATCAGTAAAAATGACTTTCCATCTATTCTGATAACTGTATAAACTTTACGGTCAAGTTAATAAGTTAAAATGACAAACACTAAATGGTACTAAGTCCACGGTGAGAGCAGGAAGTAGATCAGAGGAAGAACTGGACGCCTGTTTGATGTTTGGGGGGTGAGGATGCTGCCCTGACTCTTTCTATCTTTGCATTGCACAGGTTGTGAGAGCCGGGGCAGATCCTCCCCTCCCATTGGCTTAGAGACAGAGAGAGGGACACAAAATGAGTCACGAGACGTCACCAAACATCGCCCGACACCAAACATCGCCAAAAATGAGTCCAAACATCGCCCGACACCAAACATCGGCCAACGAACACTGAACGCACCGCGGGAGGTCCTGAAACCGCTGGACTCTTAACGAGGAACTGTTTGTCAACAGATGTACTCGAGTTACTGCATCTCAAACGTCTTTGACCAATTTAGAAATGAGTCATGTATGTATGTATGAAACCACAAGCAACCAACGCTAGTTAGGGTCGAATTAGACAAAAACAATGGACTAAAGGACAGATGATGAATGCAACTACGAGAAACCGCCTTTTGAGTCTTCTTGTCAACAGATGTAGCTCAAGTTGTCTTCATCTCAAACGTTTTTGACCAATTTAGAAATGACTTATGTACGTATGTATTAAACCACAAATAACCAACGATAGTTAGAGTAGAGTTAGACAAAAAGGTCAAATGATGGATGCAACTGTCCGAAAATAAGTTTGAAAGAGAGTCCTTGTGTCTGTACTTTTATCATGTGATGTGTTTACGTTAGAAATAGCATGTTAGACGGTGAGGGACCCATCAGCTATGGAGTGGAAATCACTAAGATGATGATTATACCCTGAAAGAGTCATAAAGACCACTGAGGAAGCACCGGAGAAGCAGCTTTCTAATGTGACGTTTGAGGGTTATAGGTTTGTCCAATGTTTCTCCTTTGCTAGAAACTGAATGAAGGACTTGAAGCTTGAGAAAGATCAGAAACATACCGCCCAACGAACACTGAACGCACCGGGAGGTCCTGAAACCACTGGACTCTTAATGAGGAACCGCCTTTTTAGTTTTTTTGTCAACAGATGTACCTCGAGTTACTGCATCTCAAAAGTTATTAAGAAATTAGTCATGTATGCATTAAACCACAAATAACCAACGCTAGTTAGGGTAGAGTTAGACAAACAGGTCAAATGATGGATGCAACTGTCCCAAAACGACTTTGTAAGAGTGTCTTTACTTTTTTCATGTGATGTGTTTACATTAGGAATAGCATGTTAGACGGTGAGGGACCCATCAGCTATGGAGTGGAAATCACTAAGAGGATGATTATACCCATGAAAGAGTCATAAAGACCACTGAGGAAGCACCGATTTCCACCAAGAAGCAGCTTTCTAATGTGACGTTTGAGCGTTATTGGTTTGTCCAATGTTTCTCCTTTGCTAGAAACTGAACGAAGGACTTGAAGCTTGAGAAAGGTCAGAAACATACCGCTCAACGAACACTGAACGCACCGGGAGGTCCTGAAACCACTGGACTCTTAACGAGGAACCGCCTTTTTAGTTTTTTTTGTCAACAGATGTACCTCGAGTTACTGCATCTCAAACGTTATTTGACCAATTTAGAAATGAGTTATGTATCTATGTATGTATTAAACCACAAATAACCAACGCTAGTTAGGGTAGAGTTAGACAAAAACAATGGACTAAAAGGTCAAATGATGGATGCAACTGTCCGAAACGACTTTGTAAGAGAGTCCTGGTGTCTGTACTTTATATTGTGATGTGTTTACGTTAGAAATAGTATGTTAGACGGTGAGGGACCCATCAGCTGTGGAGTGGAAATCACTAAGATGATTAGCCATGAAAGAGCCATAAAGACCACTAAGGATGCACAGTTTCCTCCTAAGAAGCAGCTTTCTAATGTGACGTTTGAGGGGTGTAGGTTTTTCCAATGTTTCTCCTTTGCTCGAAACTGAATGAAGGACTTGAAGCTTGTAAAACGTGCTGCTAAAAACGTGTTCTCTATACCTATGGAGCCTTGAAGACCACTGAAGGTGAACCAGAAGAATCAGCTTTCTCGAACAAGCTCAGACCACCCTAAATAATTGTGTTGAAATGCGACATTTAAAAGTAGTGAGTTCCTCCAACGTCTCTCCATTGCTAGAAACTGAGTTGAAGACTTTTAGCTTGACAAGCGTCAGAATCGTATCTGATTTATCGTGTTCTGATAACGCCTCCCTAAGCCTAATGAGCCTTGAAGACCACTGAAGATGAACCGTTATCCACGAAGAGTAGCTTTCTAAAAAAATAAACCCGCATAATTCCCCTTTTTCAGGAGCCTTAAGATTGTGTTGAGCTCGATGTTTGACGGTTTGCAGTTCGTCAACGTTTCACCATTACTAGAAATTGATCTTTAGCTGTCAGAATGGTCCAGATTCAAAACGTGCTCTCTGTGTCTAATGAGCCTTGAAAACCACTGAAGAAGAACCGTTTTCCACGAAGAAGCAGTTTTTCTAAAAAGCTAAAACTCCCTTTTCACAAGATCCTAAAGATTGTGTTGAAATCTGATATAAGTTCGTCTGAAGTCTTTCCTTTTCTAGAAACTGGTAGAAGCACTTTTAGTTTGGAAAGACATCCTGAAGCATTGCTTTTTTATTGTCGTCTGACATCTCCTCTCCAACATGTATTTTAATTACTTTAAATCAACTTTTGTTTAATGGCTGGGTTTTCTGCACTCTTAACCTCCCCATCAGAACCAATCAGTATTGACTGATCTGCCATCCAATCATTTCAGTGTCAATTGGGTTAATTAGAAACACTCAAACAAAAAGCTCTCTCAGATTTGATTGTTGTGTTTGTGTTTTAAGGACAAGGAAAGTGTTTGTGTCTAGAACAGCCAACTCAGTAAGTTAATGCTACCGTTTAGCATCTGTAGTTTAGTTAGAGGTAATAGCTCTTAGATTTTAGAAGTGTTTCTCTGTTTCGTAGTGACAGTTAAACTGAAAGGTCGTCATAAGGAAGTCCAGTTCTGTCTCTGAGCTTTTAGACCAGTTCTGTCTCTGAGCTTTTAGACCAGTTCTGTCTCTGAGCTTTTAGACCAGTTCTGTCTCTGAGCTTTTAGACCAGTTCTGTTTCTGAGCTTTTAGACCAGTTCTGAGTCCAAGTTCTTAGACCAGTTCTGTTTCTGAGCTTTTAGACCAGTTCTGTCTCTGAGCTTTTAGACCAGTTCTGTCTCTGAGCTTTTAGACCAGTTCTGTCTCTGAGCTTTTGGACCAGTTCTGTCTCTGAGCTTTTAGACCAGTTTTGTCTCTGAGCTTTTAGACCAGTTCTGTTTCTGAGCTTATAGACCAGTTCTGTTTCCAAGTTCTTAGACCAGTTCTGTCTCTGAGCTTTTAGACCAGTTCTGTTTCTGAGCTTTAGACCAGTTCTGTCTCTGAGCTTTTAGACCAGTTCTGTTTCTGAGCTTTTAGACCAGTTCTGTCTCTGAGCTTTTAGACCAGTTTTGTTTCTGAGCTTTTAGACCAGTTCTGTTTCCAAGTTCTTAGACCAGTTCTGTCTCTGAGCTTTTAGACCAGTTCTGTTTCTGAGCTTTTAGACCAGTTCTGTCTCTGAGCTTTTAGACCAGTTCTGAGACCAGTTCTGTTTCTGAGCTTTTAGACCAGTTCTGTCTCTGAGCTTTTAGACCAGTTCTGTTTCTGAGCTTTTAGACCAGTTCTGTTTCCAAGTTCTTAGACCAGTTCTGTTTCCAAGTTCTTAGACCAGTTCTGTTTCCAAGTTCTTAGACCAGTTCTGTTTCTGAGCTTTTAGACCAGTTCTGTTTCCAAGTTCTTAGACCAGTTCTGTCTCTGAGCTTTTAGACCAGTTCTGTTTCTGAGCTTTTAGACCAGTTCTGTCTCTGAGCTTTTAGACCAGTTCTGAGACCAGTTCTGTTTCTGAGCTTTTAGACCAGGTTCTGTCGCTGAGCTTTTAGACCAGTTCTGTTCTGAGCTTTCGGACCGTTCTGTTCTGAGCTTTCGGACCAGTTCTGTCTCTGAGCTTTTAGACCAGTTCTGTCTCTCAGCTTTTAGACCAGTTCTGTTTCCGAGCTTTTAGACCAGTTCTGTTTTGGGTCCGGACTCCAGAGAAACTCCCTCCTCATGCATGGCTGTATCTATTTAACCTGTACAGTAAATTACATGTGTCCAAATGTAGAGTCTGAATGCAGGTAGTGACGTTGTGTGTACAGTATTTATTGAAGAGGCCATGTACTTTTTCGTGCCTACAAACGTGATTTATATCTCATGGTGTTGAGTTGAACTCTGATTTTTTTTAATGCATTATTAAACGTTCTTTTAATTGCAAAACTTGTGTTCACACCAATGCTTCAAAGGGAATATTTCTGATTATAGAGCGGTGCAGGGATGAGTGAAACTCTTAAAGGATCCACTACAGAAATACGTCATGAAATGAAACAAGAGAATTACGATACTGTACAAACTTAAGCAGAATCAAACTGATAAACAAAGATATTATTGACTTGCAAATGATATATAAACAAATTATCTACGTAATTACACATCTGAAAATGGGTGGGAAGAAGTTTACACTTATTTAGTCCCACCCCTAAATGTTTGTCTCATACAATATATATCTACAATTATAAGAAGATTATATCATTATTACTACAATATATATATATATATATATATATATATATATATATTATTATTTTAAGTTGTACGTCATATAAGACAAATATAAAAGACTATCTTTTTACATCCACCATCCAAAATACATTTGTTATTAAAAAAAAAAACAAAAAAAAAAACATTCTAAAATAAACAAATACATAAAAGAGGTCAATTGTAATCAAGAAAAGTTAAATAACAAACCAAATAAATAAATACCAATAAATCACCCAACATGTGTTCTAACCCCATACTTTGAGGAGTGCTTCTGATCATCAGTGTGCTGCATTCCTGTGATGTCTCTGAAGAAAGTGTGTGTTGCTGTTGTGTGTCCGTGTGTGTGTGTCCGTCCGTGTGTGTATTCCCGTCTGTGCGTGTGAGTGTGTGTGTGTGTTCCCGTCTGTGCGAGTGTGTGTCTGTGTGTGTTCCCGTCTGTGCGTGTGAGTGTGTGTCTGTGTCTGTGTGTGTTCCCGTCTGTGCGTGTGTCTGTGTGTTCCCGTCTGTGCGTGTGAGTGTGTGTCGGTGTGTGTTCCCGTCTGTGCGTGTGAGTGTGTGTGTGTCTGTGTGTGTGTTCCCGTCTGTGCGTGTGAGTGTGTGTCTGTGTGTGTGTCTGAAGTGTTCAGCCTCTGGCCTGCAGCTCTCAGAATTAAGCGCAGCTTTAATAAACTCTTGACTTTTCCCCCTTATTGCCTCGGTGATAAACGAGTGTCAGCGAGCTAATTAATTGTTGTAAAGGTGCGTTTAATGCCCTCCGTCAGCTGTGATTTATCACCTGGGAAATGGCCTTCTTGTTGACAGACATTATCGTGAAGATACAAATCTGCTGGAGTCTGTTTTACAGGGTTTCATCAGCATAGACTTTTTGTTTCAAGCAGTTACAGTTAGTTAGTACACAGTATTTATTATTTACAATATCTTTTAGCCTTTTTCCTGCCAAAGCACAGACATTTCTCGCTTCAGGCACAAGAAGATTCAAAGGTTTTATTGTCATGCTCAGCAGCTACAGAGTAGAAATGGCAATGAAATTATTCTGACCTGAGCTCCTCCAACGATGCATCATATATAATAAAATACAAATAATAAATTGTGCAAGAAGTCTATATACATGTCAATGGAATAGGAAATTAAATAATCTAAATTAAGACAAAATTAAATACGGTTTATTGCAGTGATAACTATTTATATAAATCAGTAGATTACAAGAGGACAAACAGATGAATGTTTATCGAGGCACTTCAGAGCTCTTTAGGGTTGATAGCAGCAGTTGGTTAGTACACAGTATTTATTATACCTTTTACATTTAGCCTTCTTCTTGCCGAAGCACAGACATTTCTCACTTCTGACACAAGACGATGTCTACAAACAGACAATCAGTGAAGCTGTCTTGTAATAATCATTTAAACACAAGTACATCATATCACAGTTGACCCAAACTCAAGATCTTTACATAAAATATTGAAAGAAAACTAGGCTATTTGAAAAGAACACAAGGGTTTGATAAATGCTCTCACAGATAAGCATACAAATATATAAAACATGAATACAAGTAGCACGATGAGATGGATTAAACAATGTGTACAGACACAAAACAGTCATCATTTATGAACCATTACTCATGGGTTTTGTCTTTTCTGAGAAACTCTGTGTTCAGGACATCTCTTTGAGTCCAGCTCTGTGAAAACATAGCCACAAGTCGTTGGATCCTAATGCCTTAATAGGCGCTTTCACACCAAGTACTTTGCCGTACTTAGTTCATCAGAACTCTTTAGTTCTGATGAACTAAGTACAGATCGCGTTCTCACCGGAATAAGTCCCTGAGGGAGGATTAGGCAAATGAAGCCGCTGACGTCACTTCTTCTTCTTCTGCTTTGGGTTTACTGGCAGGCCGCAAACAACTTCACGGCGTATACTGCCACCAGAAGTCCCCGGCCGGAAGTCCCCGGAGTTGGGGAAGGCTTCAGTAGAAGCTGCTGGGACTCCCAGCAGCTTCTACTGAAGCCTTCCGAGTAAATCGCCAGAACGCCGACACCTCCTCATCTCCACCGCTCCCATGTTTTCTTTTGTGTTGCCATAAGTTAGTCTCTCTGCGTTGGTGCGCTGGGCTAATGCTAATGATGCTAATGCCAGCAAATACAATGGCGGCTTCACAAAACTTGTTGGGAGTTTTCCGGGGCGTGGTTTGCAATCCGCCCAGCCAATCAGACATAGGAACCTTTTTCTCCCACGAAAGTACCTGCTCTCTAGCGGGGACGGAAAAGGGGGTGAAAAGGTTCATGAACTAAATTCTATTTCCGGATTTTTTCGGTGTGAACGCTATCGGAACTATACTGGGAAAAGTACTCCGGTGTGAAAGCGCCTATAGACTTTGTATACTGCAGGGTAGCTTGTGAATTTACTCCAGGTGGAACTAAAGTCTGATTTAACACTTGATTATATTTCACATCATTCATCCACATCTGTAAAGTAACTAAAGATATTAAATACATGTAGTGGAGGAAAAGTACACAGTAGCAGAACATGGAAATACTCAAGTAAAGTACAAGTACCTCTAAAATGTACTTGAGTAAATCTACTTAGTTACTTACACCTCTGCCCCTGTGATTGGTCGATCCGCTCATTAAGAAACAAACGTCTGCAGCCTTTAGTCTTTAAACCTTTGTGTGAGTCGCAGAAAAAAAAAGAGACATTTTGGTTTCTCTGAAAGATGGAAGCAGCTCACCGTGGTGAACTTTGGCTGCCCCCCCCATCCCTCATCGTGTGTGTGTGTGTGTGTGTGTGTGTGTGTGTGTGTGTGTGTGTGTGTGTGTGTGTGTGTGTGTGTGTGTGTGTGTGTGTGTGTGTGTGTGTGTGTGTGTGTGTGTGTGTGTGTGTGTGTGTGTGTGTGTGTGTGTGTGTGTGTGTGGGTGTGTGTGTGTGTGTGTGTGTGTGTGTGTGTGTGTGTGTGTGTGTGTGTGTGTGTGTGTGTGTGTGTGTGTGTGTGTGTGTGTGTGTGTGTGTGTGTGTGTGTGTGTGTGTGTGTGTGTGTGTGTGTGTGTGTGTGTGTGTGTGTGTGTGTGTGTGTGTGTGTGTGTGTGTGTGTGTGTGTCGGACAGAGAGCATCCAGCAGGAGTTTCTGCTTCTCTGTAACCTTTTGGTGATGAGTGCGTTTCCCATTACCGCCCTGAAGGATGCTGGGAGATGATTTAATGGCGGCATTTTGTTTTTGCTGACTTGTCCCTTTTCCTCCTGCTATTAAAACAGAAAACACAGGAGTGTGTGGGAAGAGCAGCTCAAATCTATTACTCCAGTTCCCCCCTGACTCTGTATCCCACTCCTCCGTAACCACTTCCTGTTTGACTGGACTGCCTCCTTCCCTTTGTTATTAATCATTACACTCTGAAAATGACCCACTCAGGCTTCCTTATATCTTAATTGATAACATCGTCATAGTTTATTTGCTTTGTCCTCTTGGACACTGGACTGCCTCCTACCACAATAAGTAACAATGTAATAACACACACTGAAAATGACCCACACAGGCTTCCTTATATCTTTTTATTTTTTATTTTGTTTTCAGTTATAAAATAAACAGACATTGCGCCAGATAACTAAACAAAACATAACGGGGGGGGGGGGTGCAAGGATGACTTCCTAAGACAGCTGATTGTGACATACACAATACATTACACAGGAGATGCCATATTGACAGGGTCAGATAGGAGAGCTGTGGACAGTGAACCGTAATCTTCCTGTCTCCCCTCAGAATCCCCCAGCAGAGAAGCTGCACACTCCATATCCATATAAGATATAAGGCTTCCTTATATCTTAATTAACCTCGTTATAGTTTAGTGGAGTTGCTACAACCTGAGTTTCTGTCCTGGGGAAAACCTAGTCTCAGGTTTGTCCCACTAACCTGAGACTCCCCAGTAATGTTTGACCTCCTACCCTATGTTATTAATCATTACACTCTGAAAATGGCCCACACAGGCTTCCTTATATCTCAATATACCTCGTCATAGTTTAATGGAGTTGCTGCAGGCTGTTTGTGTCTCTGTATCGAGTCACTAATAAAGTATCCTGAGTTTCTCTAACCTCAAAGTCACTGGGTTTGTCTGCAGTTGTTCTGATAGTTAACTGAGGCCCCCTGCTGGAAACACAAAGACACATTCCTCCATTTAAAAACTCCAGGTGTACAGACGTTCCTCTTCCTTTCACCCCGCAGTGACTGAGTCGTACCGGTACGAGCTAATAAAGCCTCTGACTCCTCCATAGCACTCCATTAAAGTGTAAAACAATGGCTCCTTTCTAACGTTCATGCAACAGTAAATCAAAAAGTAGGAGGCTAACAAAGTCCAATCCTCCTCTCCCTTTCTTCAGAGAGACTCCGGTGCACTTCGTCATGGATGAAAGTCAATGGTCGAGTGCTTTGTGTCACATTGATTCCCGTCACGTGGAAACTCTCTTGGTAATTGCCCGGCCCACTTGTGATAAATGCCTTGTTTCAGACACTGGGCGGTTTGTAGGGCCTCAGACCCAGCGTCGATACCTGGAGCCGGTACAAAGCAGCTGGAAACAATCATCAATAACTCACAGACGTGTTCTTTAAGTCTGGGTTTCTGATTCCTGCTTTTGTTTCTGTCGTCTGCTTTGGACTTGATAAAGAGAGGGGAACACGGGAGCTGAGGCCGTTC